GTTTATGGTGTATGAGCGTGTTCCTGTCAATCCTGGTCTCTACTTCCTGATCCTATAGGCATAGTCTGCTGCTGGACGGCTGGATGTCCCACCTGGATCTAATTACCACACGATGAGTCTTTTTAACCGTTTATCTTGTAAGTGCAAATTTTCCATTGTTTACTGAATAAATTGTCAATACTGCACTTAGAGGCGCCTTCCTCTCTTTTTCTTCTTACTGCATTAGAGCCTTGCTTCCACTCTAAGAAGAGCTGCCTAAGTGTTACTGCTCCCATCCATTCCTGATATCCATCTGGCACCTTTATCTTACAGCTACAGAGGTTGGGCTCCAACAAGCGCACCTTATACAATATACATTTGCAGTTTTAAAGCATGTCATGTTTGGTATCAATTTACTCAGCAAACAATCTTTTATATTCTAACAAACAATTGGGCAATATACAGTTGCAAGAAAAAGTATGTGAACCCCTTGGGATTACGTGGAGTTTTGCATGAATTGGGCATAAAATGTGCTCTGAACATCAGCTAAGTCACAACAATAGAAGAACACAGTCTGCTGAACATAATACTACACAAACATTAGATGTTGCCATGGTTTAATTGCACATAACATGTAAACATTCACAGTGCAGGGAGGAAAAAGTATGTGAGGCCCTAGCTTAATGACTTCTCCCAGAGCTAATTGGAGCCAGGAGTGAGCCAACCTTGACTCCAATCAGTGTGATGATATTGGATGTGTTGCTGACAGCTGTCCTGCCCTTAAAAAAACACACACCTGACACAAGTGTCAGAAAACGCTTGGTCTTCAAGAGTGGGTGATGTGTGGTATAAGCTTCTAATGTTGGCCCTGAAATGCCATGATAGTAGAAGTAACACCTTCAAATGACCCCTTTTCGGAAAGTAGACACTCCAAGGTATTTGCTAAGAGGCATGGCGAGTGTTTTGCAGATCTCATTTGTTGCCATGTGTGACAAATACCCTGTGACAAAAATTCTGTAAAATACTCACCATGCCTCTTATCAAATTCCTTGGGGTGTCTACTTTCCAGAAAGGGGTCATTTTGGGGGGGGGGGGGGTTTGTACTCTCCTGGCATTTTAGAGCCTCCGAAACTGTGATAGGTAGTGGGGAATTTATGTGAGGAAATGTGCCCTTTGAAAGTCTGGAGGTGGTCATTGGATTTTGGGGGCTTTATGCTGCCATCCCCATACTCGGGAGAAGTAGAAGAATGCGTTTTGGGGTGTTATTCCACATATACCCATGGCATGCATGAACAATATATCACTGAAGTGACAACTTTGTGTAAAAAAAAAAACCAAAATAAACAAAAACATTCAAAACATTTGTGGCAAAAAATAAAATGTTCCATGGACTCAACATGCCTCTCTGCAAAATCCTTGGGGTGTCTACTTTCCAAAAAGGGGTCATTTGGGGGGGGGGAGGATTGTACTGCCCTGACATTTTAGCACCTCAGGAATTGTGATAGGCAGTCAAAAAGTAAAAGCTACATAAATTCCACTATATATACACACCATAGTTTGTAGATGCTATAACGGTCACACAAACCAATTAATATATACGTATTGAGATTTTTATTTACCAAAGACATGTAGCAGAATGCATTTTAGTCTAAATTTATGACTAACTTTGAGTTTATTGGATATATTTTGTAATCAAAAGTGAAAAAAATTTTTTTTTTCAAAATTCAGCCTTTGTTTATAGCACAAAAAATAAAAACCGGTGATCAAATACCACCAAAGAAAGCTCTATTTGTGTGAAAAAAAGAACATAATTTTAGTTTGGGTACAGCATTGCACGGCCACGAAATTACCAGTTGAAATAGTGCAGTGCTGAACAGCATAAAATGGCCTGGTCAGGAAGAGGGGTAAATACTCAGCAGGGCAAGTAGTTAAAGATTTGGCTAAACAATGTGAGATGAGAACATATGAACATACTGACATTTGGCATGGTCAAGAAGATTGAAACATATTGACATTTGGCACGATTAAGAAGATTGTGTAATGTTAGGTAGGAAAATTCTACCCTCCCTGAACATGTCTGACAAAAATATGTGTATAAAAAGTGGATGTTCTAACCATATACTGTAACCACCACACTCCATCTTGCTGGTGGTCCGATGTACATCGTATATTCTGAATAAACCATATACAGATAACGCAAGCTGATTGATGTTGATGTCCTTCATCCAAAGGCTAACTTAACATGAGTAATATCAACCATCTATACTGCCCTGTCTTATCATAAGTATCAATTAGAGCAGCGGTTCTCAACCTGTGGGTCGCGACCCCTTTGGGGGTCGAACGACCATTTCACATGGGTCGCCTAAGACATCGGAAAACACATATTTCCGATGGTCTTAGGAACCGAGACACCGCTCCTCTGTCTCAGGCGATGTGTGGGCGGGATGACATGCCACACCTCCGGGATCACTAAACAGCTCCGCCTCCTCGCCGCTGATTGGCCACCAGAACTGTAGCTCAGGAGAGGCACACAGGCGGCCAATCACCGGCGAGGAGGTGGAGCTTGGAGAGGAGGAGCCGAGCGGCAGCGCACGTAGATCAAAGAAGATCGAGGGAGCTGCCGGAGCAAGTGAAGAGGAGAGGGGCCAGAGAAGGAAGACAGCTGACAGGGAAGTGCAAATTTTGCTGCTGCAGCCAGGTATGCTGGCTGTAGATGGGAGGAGGAGAGAGCGAGCCCAGGCTAGAGCAGGGGTCAGCAAGGTAAGTATCATTGGTGTCAGTGGGAGGAATAGTGCACCATCATTTGTGTCACTAATACCAATGATGGGGCACTATTTCTCCCACACATACACCAACGATGGGGCACTATTCCTCCCCCCACTGACACCAACGATGGGGCACTATTCCTCCCCCCACTGACACCAACGATGGGGCACTATTCCTCCCCCCACTGACACCAACGATGGGGCACTATTCCTCCCTCCACTGACACCAACGATGGGACACTATTCCTCCTCCCACTGACACCAACGATGGGACACTATTCCTCCTCCCACTGACACCAACGATGGGACACTATTCCTCCTCCCACTGACACCAACGATGGGACACTATTCCTCCTCCCACTGACACAAACGATGGGACACTATTCCTCCTCCCACTGACACCAAGAATGGGGCACTATTCCTCCTCCCCCCTCCGACACCAACGATGGGACACTATTTCCCCCCCCCCCACTGACATCAACGATGGGACACTATTCCCCCCCCCACTGACACCAATGATGGGGCACTATTCCCCCCCCTTACCCCAATGATGGGGCACTATTCCCCTCCACAACACTGACATCAATGATGGGGCACTATTCCTCCCACTGACACCAATGATGGGGCACTATTCCTCCCACTGACACCAATGGTGGGGCACTATTCCTCCCCACTGATACCAATGATGGGACACTATTCCTCCCCACTGACACCAATGATGGGGCACTATTACTCTCAGTGACACCAATGGTGGGGCACTATTCCTCCCCACTGATATCAATGATGTGGCACTACTCCTCCCACTGACACCAATGGTGGGGCACTATTCCTCCCACTGACACCAATGGTGGGGCACTATTCCTCCCACTGACACCAAAGATGGGACACTATTCCTCCCACTGACACCAATGATGGGGCACTATTCCTCCCACTAATACCAATGATGGGGCACTATTCCTCCCACTGACGCCAATGATGGGGCACGATTCCTCCCACTGACGCCAATGATGGGGCACTATTCCTCCCACTGACGCCAATGATGGGGCACTATTCCTCCCACTGACGCCAATGATGGGGCACTATTCCTCCCACTGACGCCAATGATGGGGCACTATTCCTCCCACTGACGCCAATGATGGGGCACTATTCCTCCCACTGACGCCAATGATGGGGCACTATTCCTCCCACTGACGCCAATGATGGGGCACTATTCCTCCCACTGAGGCCAATGATGGGGCACTATTCCTCCCACTGACGCCAATGATGGGGCACTATTCCTCCCACTGACGCCAATGAGGGGGCACTATTCCTCCCACTGACGCCAATGATGGGGCACTATTCCTCCCACTGACGCCAATGATGGGGCACTATTCCTCCCTCTGACGCCAATGATGGGGCACTATTCCTCCCACTGACGCCAATGATGGGGCACTATTCCTCCCACTGATGCCAATGATGGGGCACTATTCCTCCCACTAACGCCAATGATGGAACACTATTCCTCCCACTGACGCCAACGATGGGGCACTATTCCTCCCACTGATACCAATGATGGGACACTATTCCTCCCACTGACACCAATGATGGGGCACTATTCCTCCCACTGATACCAATGATGGGACACTATTCACCCACTGACATCAGTGATTGGGCACTACTCCTTCCACTGACACCAATGATGTGGCACTAGTCCTCCCACTGCAAAATTACAGTTATGAAGTAGCAACGAACATAATTTTATGGTTGGGGGTCACCACAACATGAGGAACTGTATTAAGGGATCGTGGCATTAGAAAGGTTGAGAACCACTGAATTAGAGGGTATACCTATCTTAGTTGGAACTTGAGTGGGAGACCACATTCAGACCTGGTCAATAGATGTTAAATCTCTCATTAACTGCAATTCCATAAAAATAATGATAGAAAATACCATAAAAGAATGCAGTTCCATAAAATAATATATATACATTGCGTAAATATACAGTATAATCCCTAGCAATAGTTTAAACCCTGGAGTGGACAGGGTAATTAAACATAATATAGTGGCAAATGTACAAAATGTGCTGCTCCGTGGTGGACTTCTCCAAGATAAACACACCAGGTTCTATTCAGTTTGTTTAAAACATGGTATAGTCACTTAACCACCTTCCGCCCGCCATATAGTACAGTGACGGGCGCAAGGTGGTTCTCTCATTCTGATAGGACGTCATATGACGTCCTTCCATTCTCACTGCGCATGCGCGGCTCAGGGAGCGCGCAGCATGGCGATCGCCGGTCCGCTGTGTCCGAGGATCACGGAAAGAGCCGAAGATGTCAGCTCGGTCATGTGATCAGCTGTGTCCAATCACAGCTGATCACATGTAAACACGGAAATGCCGGTTAACGGCACTTCTCTCCTCTCGATCTGTCACGCTGACAGCTCGAGAGGTGAGGAGAGCCGGCAATCAGCTTTCCGCGGAGGGGACATGTACACTGATCATCAGGGCACTGATGATCAGTGTGCCCTGATGATCAGTGTGGCCCCAGAAGTGCCACATGTCAGTGTCCATCAGTGCCAGCAGTCAGTGCTCATCAGTGCCAGTGCCCATCAGTGCCACATCAATGCCACATATCAGTGCCCATCTGAGCTGCCTTTCAATGCACCCAGCAGTGCCAGTCAGTGCCACCTATCAATGCCAATCAGTGCCACCTATCAGTGCTGCCAATCAGTGCCACCTACCAGTGCCAGTCAGTGTTGCCTATCAGTGCGCGTCAGCGCCGCCTATCAGTGCCAGTCAGTGCCGCCTATCAGTGCCAGTCAGTGCCGCCTAACAGTGCCAGTCAGTGCCGCCTATCAGTGCAGCCTATCATTGCCAGTCAGTGCTGCCTATCAGTGCCATATATCAGTGTCATGTATCAGTGCTGCCTTTCAGTGCCCATCAGTGATGCCTGTCAATGCCCATCAGTGCAACCTACCAGTGCCTCCTCATCAGTGCCCATCAATGCCACCTATCAGTGTCCATCAGTGTAGCCTATCAGTGCCCATCGCTGCAGCCTCATTAGCGCACATCAGTGAAGGAGAAAAATCACTTATTTACAAAATTGTATAACAAAAACGAAGAGAAAACGTTTTTTTTTTTCAAACTTTTCAGTGGTTTTTGGTTTGTTTAAGAAAAATAAAAATCCCAGAGGTGATTAAATACCACCAAAAGAAAGCTCTATCTGTCTCAAAAAAATGATAAAAATTTAATATGGGTACAGTGTTGCATGACCGCGCAATTGTCATTCAAAGTGCAACAGCGCTGAAAGCTGGAAATTGGCCTGGGCAGGAAAGGGGTATAAGTGCCCGGTAGGCTAGTGGTTAAAGCAATTGTAAAGGTTCAGATTTTTTCTTATTAAAATACAAACTTGTCATACTTACCTTCTCTGTGCAATGATTTTGATCCTCTTCATCTTGGGTTCCCTGCTGGTGCTCCTGGCTCCACCCCCCTGCTGAGTGCCCCCAGAGCAAGCTGCTTGTTCTGGGGGTACTCATGTGCTCGTTCCTGAGCCGCCTCTGTGTGTTTATGGGACACACAGAGCACAGATTGGCCCACTCCCTCCTCACTGCTTGTGATTGACAGCAACAAGAGCCACTGGCTCCCACTGCTGTGTCTCAAACAATGAAGAGGGAAGAATCCAGGAGAGCTTCTGCTCTCGTACACATCACTGGACTGGGCTTGGGCTCAAGTGAGTATAAGGAAGGCTAAGGGGGGTAGCTGTACATTGAATGCCTTCAGCCTTTAGAACCACTTTAACATGTAATTCTATTGTGTAATGCATTATTATTACTATATTAAATGGCTGGGATGTTAAGTTAGTCACAACCCTCCTATCGTTTTCAGCCAAGGAAGCTGCCATCTTAGTTTGATCTTCAGCTGCCATGATGCTGCACATGTGATCAGTTATGACACCAGCCATTTGATGGTTTGACAGTTTAGTTGAGAGCACAAGCAAATGTGACAGTTAGCACTCTTGGAATGTAAGTGCTCGTTCACACAATGAAAACTGATGGGAAAACCGTGCAGATTTCACTTGCAGAGATATGAGTTTACATCAGTTTCCCATCAGTTCACATCAGTTTTCATGCATGTTTCAGTGAGTTTTTATGCACGTTGACATCAGTGTTTATGCGCGTCATTTATATTTACCCCACAGTGTTGATGTCATGTCAGTTTTTTTTTCCAGCATAGAAAACTGCATACACATTGCAGATTCCTGTGCAGAAAAAAAATCTGCACGTGATACCAGTGTTGTGATGTGAACAGGACACATAGAGAACTATTTTTTTTTGTGCAAAATGGATGCAGGAAAACTGATGTCTCAGCACATGATGTAAACGAGTCCCAATTGTTTTTTAGAACTGTTAACTGATGGGTTTAGATCTGCTTTAAACTAGAACTTCACTTACTACAGGAAGTTCCACTGTTTGTTCTCCCCACCTCTTCTGCCTGTTTAGGATTTTTCTATTCTCCTGGGACAGGTACCTATTTCTGACAGGTGCTCGTTCCCACTTGTTCCCCCACTCCTGCAATCTCCTGGGACACGTCACACACTGATGGGCTAGGATTGAGAGACAGTCACAAACAGGGGCGGACTGACCATTTGGAAGCTTGGGCACTGCCCGAGGGCCCGGGGTCAGTAGGGGGCCCCCATGAGATGCCCCTGCTACCTTTTTCATAGGCTTTTTTTGAGTTTGGGCAAGGACACAGAGGCCCCATGATCCCCTATTGCCCAGGGGCCCCATAAGTTGTCAGTCCGCCCCTGGTCACAAATAATGTATTCATTTTGTGGTAAGAAATAGCATTGCTTACATATAAAGCATTGATAATTTTATATACACACACATATATACAGTGGGGCAAAAAAGTATTTAGTCAGCCACCAATTGTGCAAGTTCTCCCACTTAAAAAGATGAGAGAGGCCTGTAACTGGCATTATAGGTAGACCTCAACTAGGAGAGACAAAATGAGAAAAACAATCCAGACAATCACATTGGCTGATTTGGAAAGAATTTATTTGCAAATTATGGTGGAAAATAAGTATTTGGTCACCTACAAACAAGCAAGATTTCTGGCTCTCACAGACCTGTACCTTCTTCTTTAAGAGGCTCCTCTGTCCTGCACTCATTACCTGTATCAATGGCACCTGTTTGTGGTTGTGGACAGGTGTCTTTTATACTGATAACAAGTTCAAACAGTCACACTCCAAACTCCACTATGGTGAAGACCAAAGAGCTGTCGAAGGACACCAGAAACAAAACTGTAGACCTGCACCAGGCTGGGAAGACTGAATCTGCAATAGGCAAGCAGCTTGGTGTGAACAAATCAACTGTGGGAACAATAATTAGAAAATGGAAGACATACAAGACCACTGATAGTCTCCCTCGATCTGGGGCTCCACGCAAGATCTCACCCCCTGGGGTCAAAATGATCACAAGAACGGTGAGCAAAAATCCTAGGACCACACAGGGGGACCTAGTGAATGACCTGCAGAGAGCTGGGACCAACGTAACAAAGGCTACCATCAGTAACACACTACGCCGCCAGGGACTCAGATCCTGCAGTGCCAGACGTGTCCCCTTGCTTAAGCCAGTACATGTCCGGGCCCATCTGAAGTTTGCTAGAGAGCATTTGGATGATCCAGAAGAGGATTGGGAGAATTTCATATGGTCAGATGAAACCAAAATAGAACTGTTTGGTTGAAACACAACTCGTCGTGTTTGGAGGAGAGAGAATGCTGAGTTGCATCCAAAGAACACCATACCTACTGTGAAGCATGGGGGTGGCAACATCATGCTTTGGGGCTGTTTCTCCACAAAGGGACCAGGACGACTGATCCATGTACAAGACAGAATGAATGGGGCCATGTATCGTGAGATTTTGAGCGCAAACCTCCTTTCATCAGCAAGGGCATTGGAGATGAAACGTGGCTGGGTCTTCCAACATGACAATGATCTCAAACATACCGCCCGGGCAACGAAGGAGTGGCTTCGTAAGAAGGATTTCAAGGTCCTGGAGTGGCCTAGCCAGTCTCCAGATCTCAACCCCATAGAAAACGTTTGGAGGGAGTTGAAAGTCCGTGTTGCCCAGCGACAGCCCCAAAACATCACTGCTCTAGAGGAGCTCTGCATGGAGGAATGGGCCAACATACCAGCAACAGTGTGTGCCAACCTTGTGAAGACTTATAGGAAACGTTTGACCTCTGTCATTGCCAACAAAGGATATATAACAAAGTATTGAGATGAACTTTTGATATTGACCAAATACTTATTTTCCACCATAATTTGAAAATAAATTCTTTCCAAATCAGCCAATGTGTTTGTCTGGATTTTTTTTCTCATTTTGCCTCTCATAGTTGAGGTCTACCTATGATGCCAATTACAGGCCTCTCTCTTCTTTTTAAGTGGGAGAACTTGCACAATTGGTGGCTGACTAAATACTTTTTTGCCCCACTATATATATATATATATATATATATATATATATATATATATACACATACACACATATACACACACACACACGTAAAATGAGAGATCTTATTATATGCTCTGTAATTTACTACATATCTCATATCCAATAATACTCCTGATGATGCAGTGTATAAATGCGTTGACTGGAGCAATCCCTGGTTGATCACAAACATTTATTCTAACAACTAAAATTAATTTGCACACATACATGCACTTTTTTTATATATATTTATGTGCTTACTTTATGCCAGTAACTCCTCTGAACACAGGTTTGAGGCAACACTGCTCTAAAATGCGAATATAAAGGTCACAGTTTGCATGAACACATTGTGCATTAAGCCTTACGCCCCTTCCACATGGACATATCATCTATCTGTTGATGGATCCGGTGATTGTGGGGTTCTGGGGGGTTATTCCAGCCCTGCCCCCAAGTGAATGAGTATGAGGTACATTCCCTACTCATTCACAAAAAAAAAAAAAAAAAAACACCACCTGCCACACCCAACTGCTCCTCTCACTTGCTCACACTGAATGACATTGCTGGTAAAATAATCAAAGGGGTGGGGCCAGCTGATGACCCCTGCCCCTTATGATGTCATTGGCCATTACTGGACATATCCATATATGGTCAAGAATGACCCCCTGCTTCTTTGTATACTTCAACGATGGGGTCTCAGTACAGATCTCCCCTAAATTCACTCACCACACTGAAGACCAGATGCTGAAGCATTACAGAGTGAGTAGTCCTCCCCTTGGCTCTATATGATCAAAGCAGGGAAGGAGGCTTACCCTCACACTGGACTGACGTTTTCATGGAAGCTGCAGGTGTGGACTGTGTCATGAATTATTTTTTTGTGTTACATAGCGCTGCAGTGTAGTGCAACACAATAAAAGCAATTTCAGGTGGCCACAGCACCCCTAAAGAGTTGTCACTCGCACCCCTTATGAATGCCATTAAAACAAACCCCATAGTACATACACTATGCATTATCGCAACATGCATTGACATACATTAAGGGAGAGGCATGGCCAAAGATCTTTTGGCCATAAGTCTCTTGTGGATAACAGGAGTGCACTTATGCACTCCTTTCACCTAGATTCCGCTGTCAGCCGTCTAAAACCCGCTGTTGGCTGACATCACAAAACTGGTCCAAGCTCTGCAGGGATCCTGATAATATTGTCAGGATATGCCCAGACACCTGACCAGCAGCTGGCTCAGTCTCTCTGCACACAAGCCCCCTCTACAATACCCTGCTCCGATGA